TTAAAAATATAAATCTATTTGATGGAGAAAACTTCCAATATCAAGTTAAATTCGTTAATTTGATAGTGTTATCTAATTTGATATAATTGAGATTAAATTGTATAATATAATTTTTATTTTTTTAATATTTATATTTATATAATTTTGATGGAGAAAACTTCCAATATCAAGTTAAATTCGTTAATTTGATAGTGTTATCTAATTTGATATAATTGAGATTAAATTGTATAATATATTTTTATTTTTTTTATTATTTATATTTATATAATTTTTTTAATATTAAACTATATAATAAAAAATATTTTTTTTTATTTTTTAGCTTATTCCAGCCATATACACTACTTGAGCAATATGTTAATTCTTAATTTTATTAAAAAGAAATTACCACCCATCTACTACTTATGCGGCGGCTATATTAGTTTAGCTTAAAATTCACTAATTTCTCTCTAGTTAATTCCATGTGTATGACCAAAAATAAATATAAATGTGTGATTTTCCACTCAACACCGCTTAAAAACATAATTCTTAGTAGTAATTTTTTTTTTTTTTGACAAGAAAAATGATTAAAAGTTAAAAATTAAGTTAATACCTTACTATTGACTAAGTTGAATCACTGATCAAGTGTGCAATCCACCTGTAACTTTATTGGACTGCAGTGATCACTAATGAACCACAACAGAAAATACCCTTAGTAGTAATTAAATTTTTTTTTTGGACAAAAAAAATAATTAAAAGTTAAAAGTTAAGTTAATATCTTGACTAAGTTGGATTACTGATCAGGAGTGCAATCCACCTGTAACCCTATTGGACTGCAATGATCACCAATGAATCACAACAGAAAATACCCTTAGTAGTAATTAATTATGGTGCTATGTAAAAATTTTTCGTACGATCAAATTAAGATGCTGACAGAATTCAAATATGCCTGCCTGACTCCGTCATTGCCACTACTTCAGGTCTTCTGTTTGCCGGCTTGCACATAAGGGCTTCCCGGATGACATTTACAATACGGAGTGGGACCTGATCATGGTGGACGCACCAACAGGGTACCACGACGAAGCACCAGGGAGGATGACGGCTATATATACTTCAGGGTTAATGGCTAGGAACAGAGCAGAGGGGGAGACTGATGTTTTTGTGCACGATGTGAATAGGGTTGTGGAGGACAAGTTCTCCATGGCATTTCTCTGTGAAGGCTACATGAAAGAGCAAGAAGGTTTGTTGAGGCACTTCACAATTCCTAGTCACCGGAATCGTCCCGACACACCCTTTTGCCCAAATTAAACTCTAATGGACAATGTTACAATGTTACTTGGGAAAGTAACATCGGTTGTCAGCACTTTACAGGCGATAGAAACAGAACACAATTCCACTACAGTGTTATTATCTTTTAAAAATTGATTCTTTTCCTATTAATATCAGTTAATTTTTATTAGTGTTTGGCGAAATGATTTTGTCTTCAGACACAAGTCTCATTCTTCCTTAAAGTATACGTTGTGGTCTGACCAAAAAGAAAAGGAGAAGGTGAGGTTGGTGAATGGGGACCAACTATTATTGATTTGTTTATTGTTAGTTCTCAAAACATTTAGTGTTATTTGCAAATGAGCAGTGTCAATCACGTTCTGGTGCAGTGATAAGGGTTATGTGGTATGGCATATA